GTGGTAGTATAAGCAAGCTAACATGAGCATGGATGGGTTACTGACATGGCCTCTGATGTGGTGGATCAGGTCAGTCCACACAGGTCTATTTGCAACTATGCAGGTCACAGATAAACCGAGCTGTCCTAGGAACAATTGAAGACAAAGGCAGGCACAGGCATTATGTACAGTACCGTCTAGACTAGGATGAGGTAAGCCATGCTGTCTAGTGTTGGATCTTAAGTTGTGTGAGACATTGCAACTCAAGCACCAGCACCGTTTGTTATGCACATATAAGGAATAGACACTGCAACTGAATCACCAGCATCATTTTCTATGCACTTATAAGGAATACAACTTTCACTCAGATTAAAGCATGAGCACTGTTTTATATAAATGTACTAAATAAGGAATATAACCTTCAATTTTAGTAGAAGTAGGTGTGTGTGTTCACTCAATTATTAGCAATATGTGTGTTCATTTAATTACAGAATGTACTACTTTGGAATTAGGGAGTTGTGCTTGGGGGAATATCTTTGGAAAAGTAATGATAATTGTCAGCTGCATCCTGCAGGAATATCTTTGGGAGAGCACTGATAATGTCCAGCTGCATGCTGCAGGAATGTGCTAGAAGGAGGGAAGAATAGTATATAACACACAGTTTTGGTGATGTGACTTTAGATCATCTGCCCTGCTGCTTGCTGTATGATCTCCAGATATATCTGCAAAATAATAAAAGGTAATAGTGCACTTTGATATTTGGTGTGTGACTGAATATTCTTTCCGCTATCTGGACTCGAGAAGAAGTATGAGACTTCACACTAGACAGTTAGGACATATGGTCAATCCTTCTGAATACACACTCATCTCCTGCATCCTCTTACAGACATCTCAGACCTTTAGTCATACAATCATAAACTCTAATGACATGATGGATCATGATGACCTGGTTAACTGCATATAGCATTACTGGATTGCTGACACCCTCTTAGACAAGTTCCCTCCTCAGGGTCTAGGAGTTGTTTAGGGGAACACACCACACATTGGCTCAGGTCTCTCCTGTCAAGATCAGGGGCCGGCCCCGAGCAGTTTCAGTTCCAACAATCAACTATTAACATAAACCATGATGAACAGTAAAACAAAGGGAAAGTTCAATTTAACCATGACACAAGGATGCTGCTGTCATGCTGTCCTGGATGACCTCACCCTGCTGAGCTGCTCCAGAGCTCCCCAGGTGGTCGCCTCACCTTGTGCTGGTGGTTCGGGGCAGGGGCATCACCAATACACTCCTGTTCCTTTATTGATTTAACAGCCCCCCTCCTTTTTTTCTTTCCTTTCTTTTTTTTTACATTTAACTCCCCCCAGATTTCTTAATTTATTTGGTTTAATTTTCTTTTTCTTTAATAAGTACTGAATAAATCACAATAGAAACTAGCATCACTGAGTAGTTTCTGAGAGAATAGAATAGATTGGCTCTGTTATATTAAGCTGAATGCTGAATTTTCAGGTTATTGACCAGGAATAAAGGCTTTTATAAGTGTTATTTCAAATAATTAAACGATTTCAACTAAGCCAAACAGAAGCTGCATGGAGCCATAAAAAGGCTTTCATAACACCAGACAAACATATTTTTGGACATGCAAACTTAATTCTTGTGCTACCTTTTTATTGCTCTCTGCTGCTCTTCTTTAATTACAATAACTGAAAGATGTCCTAGCTACAGGGATTTCTGGCAAGATACCTTGGATCAGCTAAATTTAATTAGAACTGTCTTAAATATTCCCTAATCTCCATAAATACATCTATGTTTTACGGATGCCTTATTCATAATTTTCTGTCCAATTCCAAGGGGGGAGGGAGCACAAGTGCTGAGCAGTCCTCATCAAGAAATAACAATGGACTCATCTGATCATGTTATTGACCCCACACAAAGCTGATTACTTCCCCCGGATGTGGTCTCATTTCTGTTGTGTATTGTGTGAAAAACATGAGAATTGCACTAGAGCACAAGTTATAGGGTCCAACACAGAGAGGGAAACAAAAGTAGGTGTCATTGCATTTTCAGCATCAAGTACACTAAAGATACTGTACATGTTTATCAGTGCAGTACAGTTTGAGTGAATACATTTCAAAGTGATTAGAAAAATGTTTTAGCTTTTAATAATAAAAGGGTGACTAAAATAAATAAATTCCTGTTAATATTTCAAATTTTGAATCAGGAATACGTCAGAAAACAATCTCCTGCCATTTCCAAATTCAAACACAGGCAGTGATGGAGTGGATGACATTAAAACTAGTGCACAAGAAGAATCATACACAATCTGGGTCAGATTGGATGTGTATTGTTTACCTTCAACTATAATATAAGAGTTATATATATATAGTATATATATAATATAAGTATAATCTTTACATGAAATCTTAACTTTACATTTCTGACACTGTGCGATTCTAATATCTTGGCATAAAAACATTTCCACTGTCTCTGTCAGACTTTATATGGAGGCACCAATGAATGCACTGTGTCAATGTTATGTGATAAGCAATGCTAAGCAAAGATTGGCGTGTGTGTCAGGGGCGGTGCGTAAAGCTGCCGATGATGTCACGGGGTGAATTCAATTATAGAGCCAGTCGAGGATAAGTGAAACACTGTCACTTTAATAAGAGCACTGGTAACTAAACGATACAGAAAACTACGTAAACCCGAAACACACTCTCAGGTTGATAATACAGTCCAGAATCAGAGCTGCAAACTTAAATAGCCAAGGGATCCACAAACGAGAGGTCAGAGAGGGGAGTCCGATAGTCAATACACAGAAAAACACAAGCAGAAACAGAGGGCTAGGCAAAACGCCGTGGTCAAACAGAAATCTGGGGACAGAGCTGGAATCACAGGAACAGGTAAAATGCTGGAAAGTCTGAACAGGAGTTGAACACAATCTGGCAGCTTCCCACAGGCTGAGAAGCTGCCTATATGCTATTATAACCAGGTGTGATTAATGAGAAGTAGGTGAAACCAATCTGGATGATGAGAAAAAGTTCCCGGGAGTCAGGGTGAGCTGGGGACCGGAAGTAGTATCAAAATAAAAGCATGAAACAGGAAACAGACAAGACAGAATCAACCAAAATCAGAACAGGACCAACCAGGGAGGGGGGCCAGGAAGAAGGGCATGAAAAGAAAACCAAGACAAAACCAGTGGGACCCCAAACAGCAGAGTCCAAAAACAAAGACTGGGGAACCTGGGACCAAACTGTGAAAACAAACACAAAAAAAAACAAAAAAGCCCACAAACAACAAACAGGGCACCACCACTCACAAGGCGACCCTGCACAACAAGATAGCAGGAGTCGGTACCGTGCAGGCGTTCCGAGAGGCCGCTCGGAAGGGTGCCCACCGACCCACTCGGGAACAGGAACAGGCTCGAAGGCGGTGTCAGCTTGCCGGCCGACCCGCTCGGGAACTGGGAGAAGGGAGGCGCCGTCACTGTTGGCGAACCCCTCTGGACCTGGGAGAAGTGGGGCGACATTGCTGTCATCATCGGCAAAGCCCTCTGGAGGAAGGACTGAGGTGGCGTCACAGCTGTCGACCCACTGGGGGACAGGAACAGGGGCAGCATCGGCCTCATCGTCGGTGCACCCCTCAGGAGGAAGGGCAGAGGTGGCGTCGAGGCTGTTGACCCACCAAAGAATAGGAACAGGGGCGGCGTCGACATCAAACCCCTCAGGAGGAAGGACGGAGGTGGCAGTGAAGCTGTCAACCCACTGAGGAACAGGGGCAGCGCCAGAGGTCTGGTTGGCTTGCTTGGTAACAGGAACAGGCTCGGAGATGGCGTCGGTGCACCGGCTGACCCTCTCAGGGACAGGAGCAGGAACAGCCTCGGAGGCGGCGTTGGCGCACCGGCTGATGCGCTCAGGGACAGGAATAGGCACAGGCTACACAGCGTCGGCACGCCGGCCAACCCGCTCGGGAACAGGAACGAGATCAGAGGCGGCGGCAGTGGTCCAGCCAACTCGCTTGGAAACAGGAGCGAGGTCTGAGGTGGTGTCGGTCCAGCCGACCCGCTGGGAAACTGGACCGAGCACAGGTTGCAGGTTGATAACAGGCCAAGAAAAGGACTTCAGTGCAAGGAGGGACGGTGGATCGGTCATCTGGGCTTTCAGTTCCTGCCAAATGGCTCGTGCTTCAACTGGAGTCAAGGGTGTCTCCCCAGAGCATGGCTGTGTTGCTGGGGTGTGTAAAACTGTCCCCACTCTGATGGAGGTGTGAGGGCTCTGTGGGTTGGTGACTCTGGCAGAGGGGAGATGTGGGCGAACAGGTGTATTAAGCTGATCAGTGGCATGATAGTCCGATGCCTCCAATGCCTGTACACTGGGACTCTGCCAAAACATGAGTAATCCTTGCTAACTGAGTTCATGTTGGCCAGATCGTACTGTCAGGGTCGTAAAGCTGCCGCTGATGTCACGGGGTGAACTCAATTATAGAGCCAGACAAGGATAAGTGAAACACTGTCTCTTTAATC